CCTGGGTTAAATCAAGAGCATTTGGCATTAGGTTAGATATGGGGTTGAGGGAAAAAAAAGGGAGCCAGGAGAGTCAGGGATGGAGGAGATATGAGCACAGAAGCTTTTCTTTGACTGTGATAATCTTATTTTACATGCATAATTTTGAGATTTATAATATATATATATATATTTATATATGTGTTCATTTATTCCTTCATTTATTGAATTTTTTGCAAAATGCCATGATTTAAAAAAAAACAAAAAAAGGATTTTTTGTTTAAATGAGCCCCCATGCATAGTTATTCATATATATATTTCTCCATAACGGATGAGTATAAATAATTGTTTTTTTAAATTGTATTCGTCGATGATTTACCGCATACATTGTATATATATAGATAATTATATGCATGAGATATTTGCATGTTTGATGTTTTTAATGTTTGACGTTTTGATGTTCGATGTTCTTGATGTTTGATGTTTTCGATGTTTTGATGTTCGATGTTCTTGATTTTTGATGTTTGCGTATGTAGATTATTTCAAATTGGCAAAGTTGCGCACTTCTTTGCGTTTTCCTAATGGATAAATATATGTACAAGCATTCGCGCAAAAGTACTTGTATTATATAAGTACATTGTATGTGTATTTAGGTTTCATCCGCGTTGGCATGCACGTTTCAGCGGCCACTAGTGCGTATATATATACCTGGCATATACTTCGTATAAGTGCCCGTGTAAATTTATATATTATATATGCATATATATGTGCACAGATCACGGCTGATCGACCGTGAGAGTATCGCGGAAGATCGTAGCAGATCGTGGCAGATCATACGCATTTACGCGATCACTCATTTGTACTTCGTATATTTGCGCGTTTGCCCATATGTCATTTGCGCATGCTTGTATAAACGACGTATTTTTTCATTTTTATCTTAAAAATGCATTTCCCCACTGTGAACGCAGTGTTGGTACCATAAAGCGCGAATTAAAAAAAAAAAAAAAAAAAAGCACAACTACGTAGAGGCCCGCTCTTACTAAATTATTCATTGAAATATTCATATAATTTTCATATGCATATGTATAAATTAATAAATGGCATTATTGAGAAAAGAGGCCACACAAAAAAGAGCCAAAGAGAAAAATACGCAAAGCCGCGAAGCGTCGAAGGTGACATGGAGTGATATCGAATGATGCTAAACGATGCGATGAGGGCCACGTAATATTGAAGTGAAACGGCACGAAATGGTTTCCATGTCAAGCATACCCATGTGTATGTATGTTATATTCCATATATTTGTACTGTATATATTATATGTATATATATACATATGTATGTTACATGTACTTTTGCGCATGCGCGTCCACCGATAAAAATGAACGCGTGAGAACGCCCTTGATCTTTTAATATCCTTGCACTGCCTCGTACTTGTGGTGTACATTCCAAACCGGACGTGCGGCGCCTGTGTACATATGCATGTGCGTTCATATATGTCAATGCATCATATGCTTTTCCGCCCTGTGCACATTTAAACCACTTCTTAAAACAAGTGAAACGCACCTGTAACAAATATAGTAGTCGAATTAAGTATCACTTTACAGCTAACATGTTACTGAAATGGTAAAAAATCAGAATAGTTCCATATAACTTCACATTTATGCAATTCCCTCCCTTGCAACATTGACACATATACATTATTGTAATCACTGGTATTGTCACTGCCTATGCGCGGCTACTATTACACTAATTGGCATAATTAGCTTAATTAGCGCAATTACCATCGTTGACGTCGTTCCATCATCCTATCGCCCTATCGTTCCATCATCCCATCGTCCTATCGTTCCATCATCCCATCGCCCTATCGTTCCATCTTCCTACCGTCCCATCGTTCCACCATCCCATCGTTACCAGCATTACCACCATTGGTATTAGCTTTTTAATGGCATTTTTTTACTATTACATCATTATCTCCCGCACGCAATCCCCCAAAAATGAACCTCCAAAATTAAGCTTCATCTGATGTATGTATTCATTAACATTCATAGTGGCAAAGCATTTTACTTGATCAGCCGAAAAGAAATTACTCAGTCAACAGTTACTTTTTACCAATTACTGTTTTTCATTTTTCCTTCCTGATGTTTACATGATCCTATGTGAGTGGAGGATATGTGAAGCCTCTCCTCTGGTTCTGGTGATGAAGCGAGGGCGCACGTATGGGTATGTATATGTGAGTATGTAACTATGCAAACGTTTAAAAAACATCTGAACCTATGGCTATGGTGTGATCATATCCCTATGGTGTGAACATATCGATAGTATGTCAACATATCGATAAGCACAGAACACATGTGTATATTCATTTTTAAATGTGCGCCTACGGATACTTGTACATACTCCCGCAACGCATTGGCATAATTCTATCATTTCAAAAATAATCACTATGAAAAAATTGAATTCAACTCATATTTTTTAACATTCGGGAAAAAAAAATAAAAAAAAAACTTTGAGAAAATAACACGGTTCTGCTGTATATATTGCTATCACCAGTCATTCGTGCCCGTTTTGTTAGCCTTTTTTTTTTTTTTTTTTTCCTGCCTTGTGAAAGATACATATTTATTTTTCCCCCTTTCCCTGTTGCATCCTAGTACCATACATATATATGCATAGTTCTGCACGTACGTGTGTACGTATGTATATGCATAAATATATATGTACACATGAGTGCATATGTATGCATATGTACGGAGGTACGAGCCCGTTCGTGAAAGGATGTATAAAGGCGCGAATGTACAAAGGCACAATTTCGAAAAGAACACTTTCACAAATGCAGGATTGTACAAAGGTACAACTGCACGGAGGCACGGATGTGTGAAAGAACGAACTTACAAACCTGCCAACTGCGATAAAGGGGACGACGAATTGGCGAACTTGGCATAGGCGAAAAGCTAATCGAACCGCGAAAAGGCGAACTCTCGAATTCAGCCCATCGCCTAATCACAACCACGCCAAAACACGAATGCATATATGGATGCACGTACAGCACCTCCACGCAACCTATTCATCAATGCCCCACCTGTAAAATAATGAACGAACTAAACTCTGCGCACCTGTCTAGTATTACTTTCATTAATAGTAATGGGGTGATAATCACTACTGAAATTAAAGAGGCCAATAAACAGATCCAAGGAAATATCATAAATGACAATGAAGGTAACTATGCTTTCTGCGATAAAGATTTAGATCATATTAAAAACCTTGTTCTTACCTTAAAACCATTTCACCAGGAATATGAAGATAATATTTTATTTCGCATAAAAAAAAAAGAAGATAGATACAGATGTGAATGGGTTCTATTACTTAAAACGGTTAGGGAAGATTTAATAAAGCAAAAAAATGGTAGCTTCATTGACATAAATCGTAAAAATGATCCTGGACAGTTGCGTGAAGAACCGGGAAATATACGGGAAGAATCCGGACATGTATGCGAAGAACCCGAACATGTATGTGAAGAACCCGAACATGTATGTGAAGAACCCGAACATGTATGTGAAGAACCCGAACATGTATGTGAAGAACCCGAACATGTTTGTGAACCCAAATGGGTTCATCAGAAGGAAGACCAAGTAGAAGAAAAAACTTTTGATTGTACTGATATAAAAGACATTATGGTCAAATACGTTTACTGCATCACCTACTTCGATGATTATATTATTAGATTAAGAAACAAAATTGGCATCGAGTACAATTCCGATAATGACAATTTTTTAAGTGACCTCATTAAAATAAATAACGACTTAACGAGAAAGAAGAACAGAAAATGCGACGAGTTTGTACGTGAAGATGGTCATATAGAGGGCGATGGTAAACTTATTCACCATCGTGACGGAAACAGAAGGGACGCGAAAGTAGGCTTACTGAACGGCGCGTTTGGCCTCACTGGTAGCAGCATCGATGGTGGAAATATTCTTTCCAACGAAAACTTAAGTGGCAATATTCTCAGCAGCGATGACAAGCTTCAAAGTTGTGACCACTGCGATGGCGTATCCAACGCGGATATGACACCAACCATCTCCGATAACGAGGGCCTCGAATTAAGGCAAGAAATATGTGCGAAGAACGGCTCGGCGAAGAACAACGCGGAGAAGTACAACTTACGCAAAGTGGTGAATGGCAATTCCGACGCCAACTCTAACGTCAGCACGTGCATAAGCGCACGCGCCAACGTGTTCCCCAGCGTGAATGCTGACAGAAACGCGGACTCGAATGTTGATATGAATGCTGAGTTGAACGTCCACTCGAATGCAGTCTCGAATGCCCACTGGAACGCCCACTCGAATGTCGACTCGAACACCTACGCTAGTGCTTATGTCAGCGCTGAGACAAACGTGGATGTGAATGCCAATTATGACTACAACAACGAGTATACCTCACTCGAATCGCCCAAAATGGAAGATACGCCCAAGGGACGAGACCTCCAAGCGGCTATAAAAAATTGTGATGAGGAGGAGGATGATGATGAAGAAGAAGAGGAGAGACACTTGAGCTTTTTTAAGAAACACTTTTACAACAAATTCGGATTTGAAAAAAGTAGAAAACTGAAGAAGAAAAATAAAAATACGAAATCACGTACTTTTGCTGTGCAGAAGGAAAATTATAATTATTCTTTCGAAAAGGTAAAAGATAAAATTCGCGAGCTGGAGGAACCCATCTCGGCTGTACAGGGTGAGGGGAGTCTCCCGGCGGACATAAATATCCACGATAGGGGTGACCCCCTCGAAAGGGGAGATAACCACCAAAGGGGTGATGGCCCTGAAAAAAAACAAATCGACAATAGTAAAAGTAGAAATAGCCATAGCAATAGCGACGAGAGCGGGGGCGGCAAGGACGAAAGCGGTGCACCCGTTATGGAGCGGGAAGTGAGCGGTGACAGTGCCGTTACCAATGTACAGAGCGGCGCAGAAGAGAGTGCAAATATTTTAAAAAAAAGCAATAAAGGAAATAATATACTTGTGAACGTGGATAATTTGAGGAGAGAATTAGCCAACTTTTTGAAGGAAAATGAGATAAACGAAAAAAAGGAAGAGGAAGCAGTTACAAATAGGAACTCAAAAGAAAGGCATCATCACGTACGGCATTGTAACAACAATTCGGTTCTCCATGAAAATGTCCACATGCTAAATGAAATTTCGACGGATGCACTGCTAAACATTTTTAGCAAACAGAATTGCAGTGCTGTGAAGTACGATTTTCTTCCCCAGGAGAATTCACATACAGGCATCCCATCATCGGACAGTTTTCAAAGGTTCGTAGAAGACTCTGCAGAGATGCACAAAAAATGGGCACATAGGAGCGACAGCAAAAATGGCATCAGCAGGAATGACAACAGTAGATGTGACAGCCGTAGAAATGACAGTGGTAGAGACGCGAACAGCGTCCATAGTGGCGGAGGCCGCAACGTGAATCGAAGCGGACACGGCAGCACCGCGCATCATGAGAAAAACAGAGCCCGGGAAGGGGCCGAGCCAAATGCCGACTTGGAGGATGAAACCAACATAGAATTAATCAAATTAATTCTGCAGCAACAAATGAGAAATAACTACAGTCTAGGCGGAGGAGAAAGATCCATCGAATGCAGAAGCGATATGTTAAGCAAATACGTGCCATTAAACGTGCACAAAAAGGACTGTTGTGATAAACGATATAAGGAGGAAGAGTCAAGGGAAAATTTATATATGGGCGATAATCTTGGGAGTGATAGAAGGAGAAAGGATAAAAGCTTCCATTCTCATCACTACCATCATCACCGCGACAAATCGTTGGAAAAGGGAAATGGCAGATTGCCCAACATAGCAGTAAGCGAGGAGGAAAAAATCAAGGAGATCTGCATGAACGAAAACGATCATGTCAGTAACAAGATCAGTAGTAGAAGAATCACTAGCAAGGTAATAAACGGCAAAGCCATCAATAGCAGCAGTTGCAACGCTACCGTGAGTCGTAACGGAGACGGTGATATTAACAAATCGAAATACGACTTCCGAAGCAGGAAAAGGAGGGACTACAATAATGATCTCTCCGATTACGTCCATAACAACATGGTGAAGGAAAAAAGAGAGCCCTCAGAAACTAAGGATGAAAAGAGGTTAGCAGATAACTCCCCTTATGAAAGCATCGCAACGGATGTAATAAAATTTATGCTCCAGTTTAACGAGAAGTGTAGGATCGTGAAGACGAAGACAGATATGAACGATAACACGAATAATACAGCTATTAGTAATGACAGCTATGAGGGAAATTACGCCAGTGATGGCTGCGCAAGTAACGACTACAACGATATGTTAAACAGAGCCATATTAAACAATGCCATAGCAGATTTTTTTAAAAATATACCCCGCCGTGAAATGAGCCACATATTAGCAAATAAAGGGGATATTTTTTCCAAAACTGTTAATACCCCCAGAAATGGAAAAGATGATAGTAGGGCACAGATAAAGTGTGGTAATGAACCCAGCTGCTGCAACATGGCGATGAAGGAACTTCAATGGCATTGCAGAAGTGCATGCAATAACACTAATAGCAACAATCACATAAATAACAGTTTCAGTAAATCCAACAGCTTACGTAATGACGACGATGGTTCCCATTTCTTCAGTCACCTGAACATGGCATATATAAGCTTAAATAAATTGTGTAAACAGGCCTTTGATCACCATCTTCAAAGCAGCTCTCCAAGAAATGACACTGAACTTAGGTCCCCACATTGTAATAACATCGAGAATATAATCAATTTGATAAAAGAAGCAATGAGAGGTAACTATGATGACGTGGGAAGTATCCACAGTGGCTTACTGCACAGCGAAAGCAGCAGTAGTAACAAAATAAAGGTAAAACAGGATATTATGAGGAGGCACATAGCACCCCCTTCGGCAGCTACAATTGTTGGAGGTACAAACCACGAAGATAATATTGATTACGATTTTAAGAACGAAATGCTGGTAGATAAGGCAAAAAGTATCATGGTGGAGGGCGGAAAAAGGAAAAGCGATTACCCAAGTGGAAGTGGAGATAATGAAAACAACATCAGAGATGTCAACGAGAATATTGTGAGCAATAATATGATCAACAGCGCGAGAAGTAACAAACAGGCCAGTAATGGCAGTAGTAATAATAGTGGCCTTAAGGGGATTCACACCAAACCGCGCGAAGAAATAAATGCCAAAAATTGCAGCAACGCGTATTATAGCAATAACGACACCAATGATGGCAGTGGTAATAGTGAGACAGATAATTTTAATCATGCGAGCGATGTTCATAACAACAGCGGGCAAGCCTTTAACCTCTCGGAAGAAAATATGGACCTATTGTACAATTATTACCTGCAGGCTTGTAAGAACTGCATGGCGCACACAAAAAAGGGGTTACATAATGAAAAGAGTGACGCGATAGTGGGGGGCATTGAGCCCGAGGGGTATATAAACTGTGCAAATTGCTTCCACCATGCGGGGCATGCGAAGTCGAGTAATATGACCCTGGGCCACAGGAAGAGCAACAATCTGCTAAGCGACAAGGGCAGCACCAAGTACGACACTAGCATCCACAACAGCAAGGCACCAACAAGTAAGAAGCATGACCCGAAGGAAAATGCCAACTACACCAACGGCGGCGGCAACATCAGCGCAATTAACAACATTGACGGTAATAACATCATTGACGGTAATAACGTCATCGACGGTAATGATGAGATCAGTCTGAGCTTTAGTCATAATTATAATAACACAAAAAGCGTCACGGATCAAGTGAATAGCTTCTTTCACAATTGCCTTTGCAATATGAAGAGCATGAACGACATGGCGCTGTATGACAACCTGGCCAGTGTCGAAAATGAGAACGATGCCGGTAAGGACATTAGCGGTAGCTGCGATAACCGCAGTAGCGATCGCGCCAACAAGTGCGATCGTGTCGGCAGCAGTAGCAGCCATGACAACAGAGGTACCGGCTGTGTTAACAGAGGTAACAGCTGTGTCGACAGAGGTAACAGCTGTGTCAACAGAGGTAGTAGCCGTGTCAACAACAGTACGTATGACCAAATCTTATATCACATACAGAACAGCCTCAAAATTGGCAGCAACGCGAAAGGTTGGGACGAACTATTGAACGAAATCTTGAAATCAAATGAAGAGCAGCACCAACGGTATCACAAGGGGAACGTCAAAGGGAACGAACTAATTGAACTTAGCGCTCTGCAGAATGTCCAGTCCAACAATTTGTTAAAGGCAATAAGGTGGAACGACGTGTTTGACAGTCATACAGTGGCGGCAACTTGTGGCTCAGGTGGAGTGAAGGGTCTAAACCGGCTGAACAGTATAGACCTGCTCAACAGTCTGCACCGAATGAACAACGTGAACTGCACCAGAGACAGCGACAAAGTGGAAGCCTTCCAAAAATTCGACAGCGACTTTAGTGCAGTGATGAAGAGGTATGAAAATAACGAAATTCCCAGAAACTATCAGAGGAGCATTATGAAAATTGTAGAAGAATTTAGCAGCAAGAGGAACTCGGATTTTCATTCTTATGAAGTAGGAGGCACTGGTGAAAATTCCAGCGGGGAATACACAGAAGAGGATATTTTGAAGGCCATTTTGATTAACATGATAAAGGAACTGTCTACTTCGAAAGGTGAGAGCTCCTTTCCCCGGGGGGCATGTACGTCAAAGAGTGCCCGTGGGCGAAGCGGCTGCATCGGAAACAGGCATCGTGGGCACTCCCGGCATAATAAGGGCCACATCAGAGATGGAAGTCACGGGATTCGCGAAGAGACCAATCGGCACAGTATCCACGGGATTCGCGAAGAGACCAATCGGCACAGTATCCACGGGATTCGCGAAGAGACCAATCGGCACAGTATCCACGGGATTCGCGAAGAGAACAACCCGCACAGAGATCATGACAGGCATAATGATCATAACGGGCATAACGGGCATAACGAGCATAACGGCCATAACGGCCATAACAAATATAGCAGACGCAACAGCCATAGCAGCTGCAGCAGGCAAGCTAGCAGTGACAACAATGGAAGCAATAACGAGTGCAGCAGTGTCTTTACGTCCAATTGTGACGGTAGAAAAAAAAATTCATCCAGCCAAAAAAAAAAAAAAAACACAAATCAGAACAATACAACAAGTGCTAACGCGACATATAGTTATTTCCCCAACAGTATGAACAGCAACATCAGCTTCCAAACCAACGTAGATGCCGTCAACAACATATACAATAATCTTGTCATCAAAAATAACATAAGTAACTCCAATAATTATTACAGTAACTATTGCCAGAATAATTTTATCAATATTAATAATTGCGGGGGGAACAATTATTTTTATAATAACAGTAGGGCCAGTAAAAGCGAGAGCAACGCTTTGGAAGAGGGTCAACTAATGCCAGATGACATAAACATACGGAGCAGTGTACCATGCACGTCAAACAACAATATTGACTTTAATGCCCCCAGCAATATAATTAGGAGATTACAGAAGCAGAATATTAGTGCATTCCACATGTCTGAGTTTCAGCACCCACACAGCGACGCGCTCTCCGTGTACGAAAATAACAGCTGCGATCATAGCAAGCCCCGTGACGGGTGCTCAATTGGTGGAAGCGCACTGGATGCGAATGCAAACGATCCGAGTGCAAACGATCTGAGTGCCAACGATCTGAGTGCAAACGACCCAAGTGCCAACGACCCAAGTGCCAACGACCCAAGTGCCAACTACGATAGCTTCAGCCATGTCAATGCGAATGAGGTAAATTCGGACCGACGCAGAAGCGACCAATTCAGAAGTGACATGCTACATGACTACAAGATGAACATGAATGAGGCCAACGCGGATGACACGAACATGGACGAAACGAATATTGAAGACCCAAACCTCTTCAATGCAAACCTCTACGAGGAAAATATTTTCGATGCAAACATTGGATCCACGAACATCGGTGACGTCAATCTTGACATGGACAATCTGTATAGCGGCAATGTGTACAGTGGAAATTTGTGCGGAGGTGACATCTACACTGAAGAACTCTACGGCGATAACCTTTGCAGTGAAGACACTTACAGCGGTAACATCTACAGTGGTGACATTTACACGAGTAACAACTTCAACCAAACCGATAACAGTGACCACACCAACAATGATGAGGCAAACGACGCTGAGGCCAACTATGACGAGGCCAACTATGACGATGCCAACTATGACGATGCCAACTATGACGAGGCCAACTATGACGAGGCCAACTATGACGAGGCCAACTATGACGAGGCCAACTATGACGAGGCCAACTGTGACGATGCCAACTACGACGAGGCCAACTATGACCAGGCCAACTATGACCAGGCCAACTATGACCAGGCCAACTGTGACGAGGCCAACTATGACGAGGCCAACTATGACGAGGCCAACTGTGACAAGGCCAACTGTGACAAGGCCAACTGTGACAAGGCCAACTGTGACGAGGTTAACTATGACGAGGTCAACTATGACGAGGTCAACTATGACGAGGTCAACTACGACGATAATAATAACAATACGACTAACGACATGCAGGAGGACGAAGAAACGCTGCTCGTACAAGGGGACACTATCTTGATGCACAAGGAGGGAGAAGATGAGGAAGCTCAGAAAAACGAAACTCACTCCAACCTTAACGAAGAGCATGCAAAATTTGATCAATTCAAAATCGTGCAAATGGAGAACTGGGAAAATAATCTCAAAGGAGGCAACATTTATGACCATGATGATTTTTCCCAGATGGAAGAAATGGGCATTTGGAAAAATGAAAGCGTCAAGGATGAGCAGGGCAACGCGGTTGCGGATACGATACATCCCAGTTTTGATTACAGCATTCGCAATGTTGACTATTCTGAGGACAACGCCCATTATCCTCGCGAGAACGGCGATAATTATGGCGGCAACGGGGATTATTATAGCAGAAACGGAGATTATTATAGCGCCAATGGAGATCATTACAGCGGCAACGGAGACCGATGGAACGACAATTTGGATGAGAGTGGCACCAAAGTTGAGTACCAGCCTGACGACCACTTCCACGCGCCAAGGTCGGGGGAGGACGAGGCGAACCCGAGCAACGGCCTACCAAAGATGATGAAGAAGATGGAATGTTTCGACGAGTTTCAAATGATGAATAAAGAAAAATATGCCTTCATTTTTAACTCAAATGTGGAAGATTATTATGTATCCGTTTCTGATGCATCAAGTTATGCGCACAGTGGTGGCGTGCTGGATGACGGCAGTGACGAGAAGCATAACGTGCCAAATGGATTAGACGCAGAACTGAAGGAGGAAAAATATATCACTTTAAGGGACACACTCTTGGAAAAGAAAAGAATCCATATTTTTCACGATCCGATTGTAAGGAACCTTCACCAGGCGGATGAGACGAATGGCTCACTGTCCATGGATATAAAAAATTTAACGCAGAGTGATCTGAAAGAATTGCTATTCCAGAAGATGTGGTACAGGATCGCCATGAAGAGGGAGGAGCAGGAAGAAAAGGAAGAAAAAAAAGAAGAGGAGAAGGAGCAAGTAGAGGTCGAGAAGAAGGGAGAAGAAGAAGTAGAAGCAGAGGAACCCCCGCAGCGTCAACCGATGCAGCATGAAGAACGCCAATCGGAGAGTAGAAACACCCCCGCAACGAAAGAAAAGGATAAGAATCCCATGGTCCAAGATTTATACTACGATGATATGAACACAAATGGGAATAGAAATAGAAATGCAAATACAAGTGCAAATGGAAGTACAAATGGATGTGCGCATCCAGAAGTGACCAGCAGAAGCAACGTGTACAATAGCTTCTCATCGTACATCTCCCTGAATATAAATTTCTTCTGTCTGTTTGACGATATGTACGATAATTTTTTTAAAGAAGATTTTGAGGATCGGGAAAAAATGCTGAAAATTCTCAACCTAAATAGGAATCTCTGCTACAACCAACTGCTCATGTTTTATAAGAAGAAAATATTCTTCGAGTGCAAAAATGAGAAGGATTCTAATCTTTCTTTGGATTGTTTACCTGCCTATGACGGTTCAACCCGTAGCTTAGAACAGGCCAAAGGGAGCATCACTAACAGTGGCAGCAAAAGCAACTGCAACAGCGGAAGTAACCTCCTTCATGGAAGAAGCAGTGAAGTGATGCCCTACTCAAGTGATCAGAAGAATAATACCATGCCAGTGGACAAGAGCACTTCTTTTGATGTCCCCAACAGTAAAGATAACCTGGTCCCAAACGAGCTGTACAACGGGATTGCCCATAAAGGGGATGTAGACACACTCATTAAGAGTAGCATGGAGGACAAAGAAATCATTCAGAACTCTGCTGGCCAGTATGGTGTGAGCAAGGAAGAATATGCAGACTGTCCCCTCATCCGACTTAAGGAAGAAATGTTCTGCTTTAAGAAGGTAATAAATCAGCTGAGAGATTTCCAAAGCATCATTAATAACAAGATTGATCAGAAGGATAAAAATTACATGGGTGAAGTAAAGTTTGAGGATGATAACCTCGATTTAGGAGGAACAACTCTGCTTGGAAAAATGGAAGAACTAGACATCGATGAGAAAAAGCGAAGAAGGGGAAGCATCCCGTTTGACGCTGTCACCATCAACGAAAAGGATTACCAAGGTGTGGTAAAAGACGAGCTGAAGTTTGCACATGGAATGGTGCAGAAAGGTCAAAGGATGGAAGAATACTACACCACAGCAGCTATTCCGAGTGAGAAGAACTTGGTTCCCAAAAAAGTATGTGACCAAACGGAAGAACAGAACATCAAAAATGACATCCCTTTTAAGGTTGACGAAGAATGCAAGTCCGCATTGAAAAATAAAATAATAAAATCGAAAGAGGAGAAGGTGAAGTGTGATACCAAGGAGAAGCTTGAGGAAGGCAAAAGGAATGTGGACGCGTATGACGGATATGTCAGTGAAAATTCGTTTGACAGCGACCATGCCCATGAGCTGGTAAAGTGTGTGCTACAGTCCGGAGTAGAGAACAGCTACAGTGCTGACATAAGTAGTTACCACCATTGCAGTGGTGACTACGATGATGGAAGCTTCCACATGGAGACGCACACAGCTAGAGGCAACGCACCCATCGAATTCGAAATAAATGTCGACTCCTCCATGGAGGAAAACGACGTCATGTTTAAATTTATATATCACAAGATTAACTGCATACGGAATAACATGTGGACGCAGAGCATTGACGAGTTGCAGAATGAAGAAATGCAGGAGACGCTCCGAAAATGTCGCAAAAGGGGCGGCAGACGGAGGGGTACAGCATGTGACTCCGACGATAGGTACACGGATTACAAAGTGATGAAGGACGAAAAGGAGCACTGCGGACAAGAGACAATACTACCAATGTCGAAAGAAGCAAACACACATCTGACAGAAATAAACAGGAGCAATGCCAACGACATATACTACTTCAACATTTACACAAATCTGTGGGAAAACATAGACCTGAATGTGAGTCACAAATTATTGGAATCACTACAGGTGAAAAAAAAAAGGATTAATAAATACTATAATAATAATTCCTACCAAGACACAAAATTTATAACCTTCACCGAATGGAACCTGTACAATTTGATCATTTCGAAAATTTACAGAAGCTTCGATGTGAAGAAATTTGAAAAGTACCAACTGAAGGTTTACAATATGAAGAAATTCCACTATGAGCTTAAAAAAAGAGGTACGTACAATTTTGGTATCAAAATTATTGGAGATTCGAATGGCAGAACAAGGGATGATGTTGGAGGCCCGTGTAGAGGAAGTAGAGGTGCCAAAGGCAAAGGGCACAAGATCGATGAGGAAGATAATAATAAGAACAGCCGGAAGTGGAAAAATTCTGATGATTATTCAGACCTTAATTATGATGATGACGATTACGATGATGATAATAACAATAATAGTAATAATGATGATGATTATTACATGGAAGACGGAGACGATGAATATCAGTTTGAGGGACACGAAGACTATTTGGAGGAAGACGTCGAAGAGGAAGAAGAAGAACTAATGGATGACGAGGAGGGACCGAAGGAGCAAGACCACAACGAATTCGAGGCGGAAGAGGACGACACGAATGATTTTGTATTTATAAATGCGGGCGCAGTAAACTCCAGAGACACTAAGGATACCAAGACGGGTGACAATGTAACCCAACAGGATGGCGAAAAGAACGTCCCAATGATAGCCAAAAATTTTAGAAGAAGCAAAGGAAACAGTCAAAACAGCCGGAGTAGAACCTTCTGCAAAAGCAAGCGCCAGAACGGAAATAGATTATGCATTAGCAACAAGGATTATCAAATGTATAATAATAGTGCCGACCAGAAGGTTCCAAACGAGATGAGCGAAGACAAAATTACCATAGTTACCAGCGAAGAGATGGTGTGGAATGAGAAAATGAAAAATGCATTCTCCACAGGTGAGGAAAAGCAACCCCTGGAGGAGGGAGAAGATACTAACAAGAGAAACACAGGCATGTCTTTGAGAAGGAAGAAGAGAAACAGCGTGCTAAGCGGAGACTCAACAGAAAACAGTTCCATTAAGGCCAATAAGAGGAAAAACAAAAAGTTGAAAGTTAGCGCAAAGGTGGATATATATGCCGAAAAGGTGATAAACCCAGGCGCCATGCATGTTAGAAGTGGTCGCTTAAGGAACGCCGCCGCCAGCAAAGGAAGTAGCAATGGACACAGCCGAAACAGGAAAGTACAAGTATTCAAAAAGAGAGTAAGTCGAAGAAGGAACTTCAACCCCTTGGTGGATAAGAAATCGAATGTATACCACCTGATACAGCTCCCAGATTATGCAAGCCACAAGGAATTGATAAAAAGCAAAAATGACTGTCTACCCACGTATATACTACAGTACGAACAATTAAAGAAAAACGAATGCATCTTCTTTAACTTACAAAGCCATTACAACAATTTTATTAATAACGTGTACCATTTTGCTGTCAGCTATGAGCAATCTTTGAGGCACAACGAGTACTTAAATAATACACTGAATAATCTCAAGGCCAGATTGTACATTAAGAGGTTGTGCCTTAAAAAGAATGTAACCCTCAGGGATAATTTATTCGATGTGTGCAACACATATTTTAACGACATGTACACTTACGACTCGGTGAGCAGTACGTATGTTTTGTATAAGACTAAGCAGCTAAGAATGAACAAAAAAGAGAAGACAATAGACAATCAGGACTACTACAGCATGTATGTGAACGACTACCTTGAGAATGAGTTGCTGAACAAGCGGAAAAGGAGCAAAAAGAAGTGCGAGGCGAATGTGCTTTACGATGGAGATGCCACGGGGGTGAAGAAGTTGCCCCTTTTGTGCCACCAGGAAGAAGGCTACGAAGGGAGGGTCGGTTACTCAGAAGCCAGTGGTTATCCACAGGGAAGCGGTTACGAAGTGGGAAGTCGTTACGACGTGAGAAGCGCTTATATTGGGATAAACGACTGTGCTGAGCGGGATGATTCCGAAGAGGCAGCCTCATACCAAGAGGTCTTTGCATATAAGGCGGCCAACCAATACGAACTGGTTAACCATTATGGAAGTTCATTCCAGAACGGGAATGAAATGGATGACCAAGGGGAAATGGCGCGAAATGACCACATAGAGGGAGGACGAACTAGCCACGAGGATAGCATGTACGTAGCGCGCAATACATACCATATGCAGAGTGTGCAGGTCCATGATAAGAACAGTGGCGATGGAAGAGACGGCAACCAGGGAAACGTGGACTACATGGGCGAAGACTACATTAACCGGGAGAACTTCATAAACTCCCTAAATCGCGTGCAACGGATGAGCAATGGGAGCAGGGGCCACATCCACGGAGCGGCAGAGCTCGCCCGCGGCGACCTCGAACTGTGCAGCCAGCTGAAGTACGTGAACTACTTTCTTGACAACGTACAAGACGATCATCATTGCAACAATGGCAGATGCAAAAGTGTCATGTCCTTCAGCGAACGAGCGATCGAACAGGACTTAGGGGACATGAACCACGAACCGGAGCAGGAGAACCAACACGAGCACGACTGGCAACGGGAAGATCAGCGGGACTACCAACGGGAATACCAACGCGACTACCAACGGGAATACCAACGCGACTACCAACGGGAATACCAACACGACTACGAAGAGGACTACCAACACGACCAGGACGAGCACTTGGGGGGAACGAACACCTTTAAGCCAAATCAAAACAGGGCCTTTCCACTCGAAGAATTAAGCACATACAGCAATCATTTTGACGACGAAAATGATAAACCCCATTTTAATAAAACGAATGGACATTTTTTTAACTATTACGAGCAGAATGACCATAACAATGATGACCATAGTGACAACAATAATGACAATAATAATGACGATAATAAAGACAATGACGATGACAGTGACAATAAGGGGAATTTTTTCCAGGAACCCGAAAATGGGAAAAATAAAAATTACAGCGCGAATAACAAAGAGTTTTATTTTAATGGCAGCGTAAACCACGATGACATAATCCAGTATATTGATATACAGTAAGTAGCATCCTCTCTGGTTTGGGAAGTACATTTGGACACATGTATATTAGCCTTGCAAGTATCATGTGCGGATACGCATATACGTGCCATAATCTTACATGTGTGTTGTCCATATGTACTTGTGTTTATGTGTGTAAATTGGCTTTTTTTTTTTCTTTTACTTTTTTTACGTCATTTTTTAATATCCTTTTTAATCATCCATTACTATTTTTTCTTTTTTTGATGATAATTATTGTAATGATGATATAATTATTATTTTTCCTTTTTTTTTTTTTTTTTATCGTCCGTTTCTTTTGATAAATCCCCAAGAGATAGTAGCTTATCCCTTTTTCGCTTTTTTTTTTTTTTTTTTTTTAAGTGTACTTTTATAAGTATAATGTACCATACTTGGACAAGTATGTTTTATCATATCGAGTTATATATCTCCTATCCAGAGATAGAGATATTTGTTGCATATAATATATTTAATTATTAATCATAGAAAAAGTTGCGCTGCATTTTTACGCGTACTGTGTGTATATTTACAACCTATACATGTGCACGCTTATTTTAGTGGCCGCGATTTTTTCCTATTCAATATGAATTTCTTTAAAGCTATTACAATTTTTTTAAAAAAAATCCATTTCTTTATTGAAAATGAATGGTTACTCTTTTGTCAAATTGGCGCTTACGTTAGTGTCTATACAAATAGGTGCACTCGCGGCGTAACCGTGGTTACCTACTCCCAGTTTAAATTTTACATTTTCTGGAGAGCTTCAGTCGGGTCTTTCTGCATACCCAAGTATTTATCCACTTGAAAAATTATGTAGCCATTATTAGGGGATAGACACATCCGCATGGCGAAACTGCTTCCATCACCTTTTGCAAAATTAAAGGAGGCCTCTCCCATTCGTTTGTAGACCAATAAACGTGTTCTGCCCACCTCCCCATGTAGTACCATTTTTAATGGGCAAAATTATCCAGCGCGAAATTCCTTTCTCGGCACGTTTCCTTAATCCCTTTTGAAGTGCGCACCGGTGGCTAACTCGTTTAGCAATTTCGTCCATTCGTTTATGCGTCCATTCTTCTATTCATTTTTGCCTCGCGACGAAATAATCACACGCGTCTGTCCTATTTCTCGAAACGCGTCCTCAGCATGTAAGGCGAAGTGAAAACGACAGAATCGTTCTGCCTTTAAGCGTGTGCCCAAAGCGCGTTATTTACATCGCGTGCGTCATTTTGTTCGTGTGTTTGAGGAGCGTTTTTTTATTCTTTATCCCTACATCGGTGCGCGCTTGTGTTTGTTATGTTCGCGCATTATTTTTCTCTTTTTTTTTTTACTCGGATCGGCAGCACGCAAAAAGAAATATTCCTATCAACATTACATTCCGTCTTCGCAAGGCATATTCAAAAAAAGTGGAAAGGTTATTTATACATTCGCATGCATAAAATATGTGTATGTGGGTACGTCTCTTTGGTAGCCCCTCTCCATTTTGAAATATTCAACGAGAAAGTGCGTCCTTTTGCAATGGGGGAAAAATATACATAAAAAAGGGACACACAAATGAGAAACTTCATTTTACTATTCCTGTCATTAATGGCGAACGTCAACTCATGACAATTAGGGACAAGTGTGCCAAAAAAAAAAAAAAAACATCAAAACATTAAAACATATTTTTTGTTAGCTTCCCACGAATTGGGCTTTTTTTTGTACATTTCCCGTGCCTTAAAGGTGGCATCTTTTTCTTGCTGCATTGGAAAAAACACTTTTGGCATTTCTCCTCAAGAGTGATATACCCTTTTTCAAATATGATTGGACCGCATTTTTTTTCCTTTCAAATTTACGCCCTTTCGTGAAAAGAACGAGATAGGGAAAATAGTCCCAGGTAATAAAAGCGATTACCGAGGGGCCAAGTGCTGACACGCAAGTGGGGCACGCACAAATTTGTATAATATGCGTACACGTATATATATCATTTTATTTACTTATCCACGTGTTTGGGCCACGCTTCCCTTGCGCTTGAATTGATAAATTTGAAAAATAGCATCGTGAAAATTGCGGAGAATTTGCAAGAAAAAATTGACGTCTGCGTTGAAAATTTCGCCACATTTTTCGCCGCATTTTTCACGGCAAGTCTCACCACAGTTCGCGTCGCCTTTTTCCCCATTTTTTTTCCTTGCCCTCAACCTCGTCATTTTTCCTTTCACGAATGCTTAAACTGCGTTTTTTCATTTTTTAAGGTTTCTTTTTCTTTTTCACTTACGGATAATTGTAAAAATGAGAAGCACGCCGAAAATAATTTTTCTTCTCCTTTCGATTTAACGTAACAGAGGAATTTTGCTCATACCTGAGGGCATAAACGAACATATGTAATGACTTTACGGGCGCGCACGTGTATGTATAATTCCGTATGTGAGGATTCGTACGTTCATATATGCATACGTTTGTGTTCATACCTTTGTGTTCATACGCTTCTTTTCATACGCTTATATGTATGCATGTACGTACGCACGTGATTACGAAGGGTTAACTGAGAAGTGGTGAATCCAAAGGGGGACACCCAAGCTGTGAGCTGCAAAAAGGAGGGGGGTGCCGCTTTGCAAACGTGAGGAAAGGAGAAACAATTGGCAACAAATGTAAGCAGAAAAAGAAAAAAAAAATGAAAAAAATATTTTTCTGCTTCCTACTCGTCATTGGCAACTCAGTGACTCTTCATTGCAGTGGTGGCGATGATGAGCAGAGAGTGGCTTTTGAGAAAAATGTGAATACAGAAAAGGGGGCAGAGGAAAGGCTTATTAACAGGGATGTGTGCGGCAGTGGGAATGACACCATTTGTGGGTCGGCCAAGGACCGTACTTTCCGAATACTAAATTCGGGCGCAAATGGAAGTAGCCACGGGAATGGCGACGGAAGCAACTCGTACGACAGTGACGACTCGGATGATGACGATGACGAAGATGAAGAAGATGATGAGGAAGAAGACCAAGACAGAGACGAGAACAACTTTGAAGTGCCCATAAACTGCACAGATGGAGAGTGCCTAAACTCCATGGACGATATCAACAAAATAATCGATGATAAAAAAAAAAAATTAAAAAACAGGAAAAAGAGAGGTAAACCTGTGCAGATAATAAAACCAAATGTAAACCATACCGAACTGATAATCATTGAAGAAAATTTAGAAATTCTGAGAAGTATCGAAAAGCCAATCGCCGTCGTATCCGTTTTGGGAGACATGCACACAGGGAAGTCCTTCCTCCTAAATTTACTCAACGAACACGTGGTGAAGGACTTAAGTAAAAGTGAAAAAAATATCGAAAGAGGATTCAAAGTAGGAAATGACATCACGGCGAGTACATATGGGATATGGATTTGGTCAGAGCCAATTAAAATCACCGTAGGAAAGTTAAAAAAAATGTATGACTATATTGACAAGAATTTCACCAACTTTGTAAAAAATTATGAATACGAGAAGGATGAATATAATGAAGAAATTATCGATTTGCTGAACTTGTACAAAACAGACGATTGGATTGCCAAAATTGACGAGTTAAATTTGGACGAGTCGGAAGAAGTCAATTTAATCCTAATGGATACACAGGGATTGAACAGCCCAAATGTGAATAAGCGGTATGACGAAATATTGTATGCCCTTACGAATTTAATATCGACGGACATTATCTTTCTCACGATGAAGATGATTAACAATAAGGACTTGGAATTTATAGAAAACATCACCAAGGATGCCAATCTGTTTATGCTAAGAGCGTACACCCGATCCAACGGATCCACTTTTTCTATAAAGAAAAATAATTTTGACAAAATTTTGGACCATATGGATAACATAGAAAATAACTCTTTAATATTGGAAAGCATCGCTTCTAAGAATCTGATGTGGGTTGTCCACGATTTTAGTCAACGGCTGGACGTGCGGAAGGGGAAGCTGTGGCTCGACATTTTGTTAAACTCCGACCGGAGAGACCTAGACATCAAGTATTGGAAGAAAATCATATCGAATAAGAGCAAGGAGAAGTACGACGCGTATACGACGAAGCAGAAAAAAATCGCCTACCTGAGTTACTCCGATGGTGGGGGTACTGCAAACCATGCTGCTGACCAGAATGGCAGCGCCGTGGCGGAGACATCCTCCAACTACAAATTGAACGTTTTGTACAAAAACATAGACTGTGTATTGCTCCGAAATATGTACAACAACAAGGAGTTCGATTTTACGAATGCAAATTTGGCCGACCTGAATGATGAGTATAAAAATGACGTGATGCTACTAAGATATAAAATTTACCTCCGGGCCCTGCTGTTCCCAAAGAAAACGTATTCTACTGTGCAGATGAATTACTTAATGGCAAAAATCAGGAAGGAGCGCGAGATGCGCAATGAAAAGGAGCAAAAAGGAGGCGCCGCAAAAAAAAAGAGTGATGAGGAAGAGAATAGCAGCAGTAGTTACGGCAGCGAGATGAGCAACAGATACATGTCGGGGCATGACGTGTACGATTTTATCACATTCTTAGTCCGATCAGCTAACCAAAACCTCTTCACAAATGTCAATCAATTTTTTAAACAGTTCAAAATTAACAGGGCAGAAATTAGCAGAAACGATTTGGTATTTCTGTACAAAAAGTATCTCCTCCAATTTATGGAAAATGAGGATGTCGAATTTATTAGCTACCTGAACGACGAGGGGGATGACTTGGCAGCCAATCTGGGAAACAAATTCAATTCACATGAGAGGAAGACCACCTTCGAAGAGGATGAACTCTTCAGCGACGACTTCTCGGAGGAGGAAAGAAAAACCACAGAGGAGCGAACAGATACGTATAAGCTCCCCCCACTACTAAACGAAATTAGAAAGTACGAAGAACTCATAAGGGAACAAATTTTAAACATTTGGTATAAGTACACAGAGAGCGATTTCCATGATGATGAGGAGAAGGAGCTAATAAAAGATATCGAAGCGAATTTGTATGAAAGGTTGGACCAGATAAAAGAAGAAATGATCCAGTTGGGAGAAGCCAACATTAAGAAGTTCTGCAAAATTGCATGTGAAGATGCGTTGCAAATTGTCGTCGAGGACATCAAAATGAAGAGCGACCAGTACCCGATCAAGCAGAAAGATCTTATGAACTTCTTCGAATCGGTTAGCTACAATTTGTTAAAGTATTTGGAAAAAAAACTCTCCAAAAGTTCTGAGAAATTAGATCTCATATATTATAAGGATGAAATTTGCAGCCCCTTGATAAATAGCACCTTCCAAGAATTTTACTATTTAAAAAAAAAAAACATTACTTTGAATGAAAGCCGTCTCAAGTCTCATTTTTCCAATGCCGTGTCAAAGGGGAAGGAAATCTTTGAAATACTGGCAGAAAGCACCGATAATATAACTGAATATTTCAAGAGCAAGAATTTGTTCTATGCCATTTTGGACAAGTGGAATGCGGAAGCGGTTAATGCCTACATGATCGCCTTGAGCGATTTTTCAAAGGAGGAAAAAGAAATCAGTGACGAATATCTAATCATTCTTGACAACGATGTAAAAATTTTGAAGCAGAAGGCCATGGAGAAATGGCACAACCATTGTAAGGACAAAACTAGCGCTCTCTTCAACATGCATAAGGGAAATTTGAAGAAAAATTTCCTCGAAAATTTTAACTTCCCACTGGACGAACTAGTACTACAGGATATCTTCCTAAGTCTTAAGGGACAGGAAGAACTCAAGTACATGGATATCTACTGCGCCAATGAGGAGTCCTGGCAAGGGGAGTACAAAAAATTTCTCCTACTAACCGATGAGGTGTACAAATTTATAAAGGATGAAAATTTGAAAGCTATTCAGATAACCTGTCAGCAGCCATTGGACGATTTAAAAAATGGAATAAGACATGAAATCCATAAGTACTACCTGTGGAGGTCTCTAAAGAATGAACTGTATGGTAGAGCTCTGGTTGTACTGTCCAGTAACATTGAAAATATCTATCTAAAAAATCAGAGGGAAAACAAGATACGGCCATCTATAGAGGAAAATCTGAGCACGAAAAATACACATTATAGGAAAATTTCGAAAGAATTAATGAGTAAAGTCATCAACAGATGGTTAAATAATGACATATACAATATATACTATCCTATTATCAGGAAACAGCTGATTCAGAAGATTATTTGCTACTTGGGGATGCTCATTCTGTTCTTCATCACATGTCTAGTGTTGTACTTTAAAAAATTTCACATGAGTTTTTTCTTCTTGATAATAATTTCGCTGTTTATGATATTTGGATACGCTCAGATATCGCTGTACGTGAAGAAGTTCTTCCGACATGTCGTCTTCTACTTTTACGAAGGAATTGCCAACGTGTTTGGAACGGAGGGGGCCATCATTTTCACCATTCTGTTCATCAGCGTAACGGCTATCTACCTGTACAATTATCACATTGTCAGGATTAAGAATAAAGTGGCAAAAAATACAAAGAAGATTTTCCAGTCTCAAAATCTTATGAACCTGTCAGGCATGAATGGATTTAAAGATATCAATGCCAACCCCAAGACGAGAATATTCAAACCGAATATAATGAAGTACTCCGATTACGACAATAGGGATGGAAAATACCTCACGTCCAACCTCACGCAGGATTACAAGATGCACAATGATGCCTCTCAGTTTATGGACCTTAAGAGTAGGGCAAATCGAGTCAGCAAGATGGACGACTATCCCCCGTATAACAACAACCCGAGCAAGTTTCAGCGGCGCTCCTACTTGGATTAGTGCGCCTAGGGGGGGAGGCGGCTCATTGGTGGAGCTACCCAGCGGACGCTAAAAAGGGATAAATGTTTCTCTACGTAACTTCTATCCCCCTTTTGTTGCCTTCCCCCATACCTTACTAGATTTTTTTACCCCCTCTTTTTGCGTGTTTTCACTACGATATGCATCTTTATACCAATTTAAAGAAATATCATGCCCGCATGAAGATGCACAAATTTTGTTTTCCCACAGCATTGGCAGCAGATAATTGGGCCCACTAATCCTGGATGAGCATATTGTCTCCCCCGGGCGCACTTTGTTTAAATATGAATTGCCATTTTTTCCTCTTTTTTTTTGCTGTCCTGTTGAGTGCAGTGGGTCCCCCCCCTAAACGCTGCACCTTTTATGCTGTGCCCCCTCCGCGGGGGGAGATACATTTTGAATTCCAGCCCTACATGAGGAATTGTAAAATGTAAAATGCAAATTTTAAAATGTAGATTGTAAATTGTAAAATGCACATTGTGAATTTTAAATTGTGAAATGCACATTGCGCGTTGCAAATTGCACATTGCAAATTTTACGTTTACGCTTTTCACCTATTTTTAACCGCTTTGCATTCCCCCCGCGCTGCACCGTTGGTTTACCACCAAACTGCACCTTCCCCTTTTGCCTTCAGGTGTGTATTCATCCCCCTTGCTGCGCGGCGGCGAGCGCATCTGCCCTGTGTACCTTTTTTTTGCACCACTCATATTGCACATCAGTGGACTGTGCCTGTATCAGTCTGCATGCAAAATTAGAGTAAAGGAGACGTGCGCGTTTCTTTATCATTTATTAACCAGTGCAGTCTTTTTTTACTGACCTACTCGTGTTCGCCTTTTTATATGAATACCAATTTTTTGTTTTAATTTTTTTTTTCCTCAAAATGAGACCTACCCATTTGGGTATGAAAAGATCGTATTAGTTGTTTCAGTGTGCTGTTGGACGCGCAGCTTTTTTTCGTCGGTCCTTTGCTGTAAGGAGCCTGTCCCATTTGCAATTCTCAGTAGCGAAAAAAGCGAGCTGGAAAAAAGCGAGCGGGCAAAATTTACGCAAAAAATTAATCCCTGTGGGGACAAAAATGGGGCCACGAATCGGGAGCACTGGGGATGGAATAAGCAAAATGGGGGAAAAGGCTACGCTCCGGGACGTCTTTTTCATTGCCGCGCTTCGGGTGATAAATACTGTACACAGCATGTGGTGCAGGAATGGTGAAGCTTTCTACGTAGTTCCTTCTTTGCACTTCCCACCCCCCATGATTTAATCCCCTCAGCTTGCGCACATTTTGCAGAAACGAATGATAGGTAGTCCCCCCTGGGTGGGTGTTCTTGCACAAAAAAAAGGTGGGTACCCTTATATGCGTATATATATATAATTATAACCCCACCTTCAGATGGCCTTCTTCCCCGTGTATAAGGTATTCCTTGTGTCATCTAGGCCGATCCGATCGTGCACGTAGTTCACACTTTTGCTGCAGGTTCGTTCGAAAATGTGCACTTCCGGGACGCATTTGCTTATGTCGTCATCATATTTATGCAAGCACAAAATTAGGGGTTGCATGTTGCACACGATTTGTTCCTTCAGTTTCGACCCGACTTTGAATTCCCCCATCTGTGGCGTACACGAGTGGATATGCAGGCGTATTTGCTATGGCTCTGTACCTACGCAGATATGTTATATGCCTTCTTATGGTATACTTCCTGCGGGGACAGAATCTGGACAAACGTGATACCATCGCTTGGTTGGTCTTCCGCCGGGAACTCCTAGTCCTGCTGCAAAGTGTGGGAGAATAGTTAAGTGAGTGCATATGGGTTACATAGGCATTATCCCTTGCGCATGCGAGGCCTTTCTGTGAGCATACTTAAAGACATACCTGTTTTGGTTGATTATGTAGGATCAGATCTTTAGCTCTTTTTAAAAGGAGGCCAGATAATTTCGCCGTGATTGGAGGTGTTTCTTTTTTCTTTACAGTTATTTTTTTTTTTTAATTTTATTTTTTATTTTTTTTTGAATTTTTTTTTAATTTTATTTTTTTTTTTCGTTCACCCCTATGACGCATAGCCAACCCAGTCGACTCCCATCAGTTTGCGAAATCGTTTAGGAGTTGCCCTCAACGCAGAATGGAATGGCTGGAAGGAACGAATTGTTGTTTTAAGAGGATGTAAGAGATAGCCCTGTAATAAGCTGACGGGGATGATAAGTAGCAAAAGAAAGAGGAGAGCTAACTGCATGGAGCGCTAACTCCCCAGATCGCTAACTCCACGTTCAGTTGTTGGGCGCCGGCGCTGTTTGATCCATTCATTGATTGTTCCCCAATTTGTGCATTTGACATTTTCGCCACTCACTTAAAACATGTGATCGCGTTGCAAACCGAAGTCTTGAAGATTCTCCTTCATCGCGAAGGGATTCCCCTTGTGGTTCCAAATAAGGGCACATCCACACGGTGCCTTTTTTTCTTGTCGAAACGTGGGGGGTAGTCTCTCCCGATGTGGGGTCTAGCAACGCACGTATGGGAAATTCCCTGACATAGACGTGACTACACGCACGTGTACTCTTACGCGTAGGTAGAAACACGGTTAAAAGAGGCGGCTCCAAAGGAAGCCGCAGCGTATAGCAAGAGCACCTCTCCCCCTGCTGGCACCATGAAACTTGACGTTAGTGAGATATTTCGAAACTACGACCAGAGGAAAGCCATTGAACATATCGAGAATCTGCGCAACGACATCAGAAGCAAGGAAGAGTCCATAAAAACATTTTTGAAAGAAAAAAGCAGCCAGGTGATTGACAATACTATCAAGATTAAAAGTGTGTATGCCAGTGTGGACAAAATAACATGCCACTTGGAAGACATCATTTGCGCTTACAATGATTTAATCGGTGGCGTTAGAAACACAGCGTCGGTGAATTTTGGAGAGCCATCAATGCACACAGAAAAATTCGGAGAATCAGAAAAGGAGATCATAAAAGAGGTGTGGAAAAGAAAATGCGACAGTTACGATTTTTTATTTCAAAGTTGCCATTTGGGAAGAAGCACAGGAGAGGGGAAAAATCCCCCCTGTGAAGATGCGTACCATATTGTAAAAACGGAAAAGGAGGAACTACTGAATTACGACTGCTTCTACCTTAACAACTATATCAACCATGTATATGTTGACGTGAATAAAAAAATGAGCGAAGAAAACTACTCATTTGTGCTGAATAAATTATACACAGATATATTTCTCTGCATCAAGGTCCTCAGCTCTTTACTCAAAAATGAAAAAATTAAAAACATTTACATTAACATGTTTAATAGCAACAGGTCCGTTTTGTACTTAAATACGTATGTAAAGAAACACAAGGAAAATTTCTGTGATATTCTCTTGAAGCTGATATATGCCTCTTACCACAATTTGGCATACAACTTCTCCTGTAAAATGGACAGCATTCCCCAGTCAGTAATCGTCTTGTTGCTTTTTTACAACAAACAGAATTGCCAAATCGTGGAAATTGTAAAAGACGATTTGTTCAAGGAAATTCTCAACGCGAGAATAAATTTGTTACACAACTTTGTGCACAGAGGGAGCCACGTAGAGGATGAGGCTCTACCCCTCCACAAGATAAAAGCGTTATTTTTGCAAATTACTTATCTGGTTTTGCACACCAAATATATGATCCTTCTTCTGATCGATGTGAGTAATGAGCGCTTCCGCCAAGGGGTGAAGGACGGTCAGGTTAGCGGTCTCGAAGAGGGATGTCCCGTGGAGTGGGAAGATAAAACTGCACAGACTTATGACGACCACGCCAGTGGGAACGACGCAACGGACACGGAGGAAAACCTCTTCTTGCGAAGAATGCAGATGGATCTGTTCATCCTGCAGAATATACCTCATGAAAAGGCAAAGAAAAACAAGCAGTATTTCAATTATGCCATAAATAGCATGGAAGAAATAAAGAAGACGCTGAACGAAGGAATCGCTGAGAAGTTCAGCTTACTACAAAAAACGTATGTCCAATTTGCGCGCCGCACTTATGACTATATGATCCACCTTCTACATGTCTACTATTGCAAAAATGATTACAGCGTAACATGCGGCCAGTTGTTCACAGAGTATGCAAATATAAACAGATTGTACAACAAAATGAAGGGTAAAATCCAAATGAAAGAAAAGTACTATCGCAAATATATTAAAGATGTTGATTTTTACCTGAATAATAATTATCTGCATGCTATTCATGATGAAGTTTTCCAGATTTTTTTTTTCCTTTTTTTTAACAAATTTGTGTGTGCAATTCCCTTTTTTGATCAAAATCCAGTTGATAAGTGGAAGCTCGTAATGACGAAATTTTTCCACAATTTGTTTTGCAACATCTCCATTTCTTATGAGAGAAATTGCGAAATTAGAGATTGGGTGTTTTATTCCTTCCTGCTGAATTCATTTTATTACTACTGGGAATTTTTTTCCATCGATTTGGATGGCATATATGCGCAATTTTACAATGTGGACAGGGAGTTAACTGAAGACCAACATATAAGAAAAAATGATCACAAAGAATCGACAGAGCGTGTACAAGCGGGGGGAAACTTATCCAGAGAGGGACATTTTCATAATGGCTTTAAAAAAATTTTAAAAGAAAAAATTCACCCCCTTATATTTTCAGCCTACAAGCTGATTATCTTCATAGAGACGAAAGAGATTAACCACAGCGCGAATGCGGACTTTCTCTTTGTAGAACAAGGCGCACATGATGCTGCGGATTTTTTCACAATGTTCGACTCGTTTATGAGTATTCTGAAGAGCCACACTAGGGAAGGGGCATACGCCAGAGAGAATGCAAATGGGAACGCCATCGTGCAGGGAGAACCAACTTCCATTCGTAGTTGCGGAAGTGATGTCAAAAAGGAGAGCAGCAATTGTACTTCAAATAGGTGCTCTAATCTGGTATGCTTCTTAAAAGTGCCGCAGGGGGAGGATCCTACCCACGTGGAAAACACCCCAATGAGGAAGTGTCCAAATGATGAAGCCACCATGCGTGACAATAACGTGGATTGCAAAACGGTGAACCTCGAGCAGGAAGAACAGAATGGCATGGTGAAAGGAACGGGACCACCTCACAGTGAGAGCATGCCGAATTGCGGTGATCAAATCGGAGAGACAGAAAACTCGGAGGAGGAAGAATATAAGGAGCTCCGTCTCTACGTCAACCTGCTTAGGCATAACGATAAGCGCGCGTGGACCCATTTCCTGAGTGCCCACGATGGCATCGATGAGGCAGTAGCGGACGACTCCGAGGGGGAGTCCAATTTCTCCCTCAATGATTTAAAGGGCATTTTTCTACACATAGTGTACAAAATATTGAAGACATCTCTGAAATGCTTCTGTGTGGAGTACCTGGACAATCTGGAGGAGCATTTGCATTTCTATCTGAACATGTTAATAAATAATGATATAAAAAATATTTTATGCGAAAAAATGAATGGCCATTTGGTGAATATTTTCTCCTTTTCCAACCTCTTTATCCTCTACGTTGAAAGGTTATGCAAAACGGATATGTATCGAAGCATAGTTATCTTCCTCGTAAAAACTGCGCTACAGAAGGAGGTATACAAAATATATGCGCAATTTATTTGCCTCGTGAAGGAAGTGTATTCTTCCCAGTATGCACAATCGAATGAAAAGAATAAAACGCTTTTAAATGAGAAAGTAACCCAATTGTATAACATTATTTTGTTGGACTTATCATTTTGTGCATATATTTTGGACAATAATAATATCATACACAAGTCCACGTATGATGATCTGATGCGGCGGTATAGAAACTACGAAAGGTATTACATCAAGTCCTGCCTTTATTTTGTTCACATTTATAAAGAAAAATATAACGTGTATAGTGAAAATATGATTGAATGCAATACGGGAAGGCACCCATTTTGGGAAAAGCTAAACGAAAAAGACGCGGAAAAGAAGAAAAAAAAAAATGCAGAAATGTACGCCTTCAAATATTTAATTGATAACATTTTGACGGAACTCAATAATTTAGATAATCTTAATGGAATTATTTTCCAGAAACATATACGCCTCTTAGCTCAGAATGTGATATGCGACTCCTACTTATTATATTACTTATTTGTCGAGGGACCCACCATTAATAACCTTTTGGACAATGTGCAGACGGACACAAAAACGAGTTCTTTGGAGATTTTCCATTTTAATCAAGTCAGCTCCATTGACGACAATTCGATTGAGGACAATTTGTTGAAGTTTTTTTTTTAAAGACGAAGACGGGGGAACCACATCAAGGTGAACTTTTCTTCGCAGCTTGGATGATGCCCCGCGTTAATTCCGCACTCGTATTTGATCTTATGTAATATATACCTTTTTTTCATTACGCCTGTAGAGATAGAGAGGGGTATTTTTTTTTTTTCTTCTTTTTTTTTTTTTTTCTTTTTTACGACTTGCTGGACCATCCCCCCATTTTGTGCCGCACCGCTGTATAAAATGAAAAGGGTTGAGGACAAAATGTACGAGGAAATTTGCAATGAAGAGGAGTATAAAAAACTGTTTGAAGAAAAAAATGACATCCTCTACATCGTAGACGTTTATACCAAGTGGTGCGGACCATGTCTCTTCACCTTCGAAATTATAAACAAAATTTACAAAGCCAATTTTACCTTCACAGAGAGCGTAAAAATAGTAGCCGTGTGCGCGCAAAATATCGCCTCGTTAAAAAACTACGATAATAATTCCAAGCCATTTTACTTAATACTGAAAAATGGAGAAATTATTCGCCAAATTCAGGGATGCAACACGCCTCATATATTTGCGCTGATTGATGAGCACTTGTTGGGTACCAAATTTAACTGAGGGTTTGTTTGGTGCGAAAATGTGCGTCGGCGAATGTCGCTGGAAGGAGGGAAAAGCAGTTACTAGGCTGCGTGGAGGGGTGCAAAACGCATACATGTCGAAGTGTCCCAATGTGGCAGTGCCGAAGTTCCGAAGTGGCGCAACGTCACACCATCACAGAATGACTAAGGCGTGGCCAGCGGCATAGTGCTGCTAACGGCATATCGAATTGTCGCACAATTCGCACGGGTTACGGCGCGCGCGCTTGGAAGAATGCCTCGTCAGGTGCCTAGCACGCCTCACCCCGTATGTCATCCAGAAAGAGTGCATCTTCTGTCTTGATTTGTGCATGGACGAATATGTCCACGCACATGCGTGTACTGGGTTCACGCTTGTTATCTGTGCATATTCATTTGCACGGAGCACGCCTTCCCCTTGGTGTATCCCCCAGAAGGGGGCTGCTCCCTGGCGCTGATGCACACGTGCAAGTGTACACATATAGGTACAAATGTACGCACATGTACACACATATGCTTGCACGCTGGGCGCAAAATAAGTTTCGTTAACTTGTTTTTTTTTCCCAATTGGGTACTCCCCTAATTAATACTTTTACGCGAAAACCCCCCTTTTTTCGTTACGCGGACTTACGCATTCTTTAAGCATTCGTTAATCTCCGAAATGATGTTGGACACGACCAAAATTTGCGCGTTCAGCTCGTCGATTTTTTCCGCGTACAAATTTCTGACCTGTTCAGGCACTTTTTGCGCATAGTTAGGATCATTGGTTTTTTTCAAATAGGAATCTAAAGAAGTTTGGAGCTTCTTATTCTTGTTTTGCATATTCGTCAGTAGCGGCTTGAGGTACTCCTCAGTGGATTGCACGTAGATAATGAACTGGTTGGCTACAATATCCTTGAGGCATCTTTTTATTTCAGCAATGAGATCATCGGAAAGTTCCTCCACGTTGTATTTAATGACCGTGAGGGTACCCAATTTGGCCAATGTCTGTATTTTATTTTTTACCTTTAAGATAAAACCTTCGTCTTGCTGATTCTTGGCAGAAATGTAACAATTGAGTTTTATCTTGGGAGGAATTTCCAGATTAGAAATGAACGATCTGAACTGCTTAACAATGCTCATAAATTTGTTCATTTCGGAGTTAACCGTTTCATCATTCCAAGAAGGCATGTACTCTGGGTAGGGGGCTACAGAAATGGATCCAAATTTGTATCCCTCGGCTGCGATCTTGTGGTACAGCTCTTCCGTTATGAAGGGCGAAATGGGGTGCAAAAGTCTCAGTCCATAATCCAGACACGCATGTAGCGTCTTGTTAGCATGGAGTGCCGTTGAACCGGTGAGAAGATGCCCCTCGCTGATGGAAACGCTGTCCTTGATGTGGCTCTCCCCGGTTGTTACGTCCTCCCTTTTTTCCTCACTAGGGGCTTCTTCCTTCTTCTCTGGTTCGGAGGACTCAACATTAAGACGGGCCTTGATAAGCTCCAAGTACACATCGCACAAATCGTAGAGCCAAAAGTTGTACGCAGAGAATGCTGCCTCGGAGAAGTTATACGTATCAAAACTTTCATTGGCACTTTTTATATACACATTTAACCGGTGGAGAATCCACTTATCTTCCCACTGCAACGAATGCACATAATCCGGTTTGGAAAGAAGGACGTTACAATTGTCGTAATTATCTGGCAACGTCTTCAAAAAGAACTTAACAGCATTCCACAGTTTATTGCAAAAATGTCGATACCCAATTATTCTATTGATGTCTAGGTTCACATTTCTCCCCTGCTTCAGATAGGTTAGGAGACCAAATCGTAGAGCATCGGTTCCACATTCTGGGATTCCCTTGGGGAACTCCTTTTTCTGCAATTCTAATGCTCTTTTGATTTCTTTTTCGGGTAAATTTCCTTCATACAATTTTTGATTTAATCCCTGTAGGCTAATTCCATCGATGATGTCCAAGGGGTCCACGACGTTTCCTTTGCTTTTACTCATCTTCTCCCCTTTGGAGTCCCTAATCATTGCATGTAGGTAAATGGTATTAAAAGGGAGTGTCTTCATAAGGTGAAGCGAAACCATTACCATTCTAGCTACCCAGAAGAAGAGAATATCCTGACCCGTCTCTAAAATACTGTTCGGGAAGAAGTGTTCCAGATCTTCCGTCTTTTCTGGCCATCCTAAAGAGCTGAATGGAACCAGGGCGGAAGAGAACCACGTGTCGAGTACGTCTTCATCTTGTACCAACTCGAACGTAGACTCGGACTGCTCATTTTGGGGTACCATCTTTTTGGCCTTTTCCATGCACTCTTCGTAGGATCCGCCAACAACCCACTTTTCCTCTGCTTCCACACCTTCCTCTCCAGTGGGGTCTGCCTCTTCTGATTGATTCGAATTATCACGGCTCCCCTCCGCTTCGACGCTCGGATCCCCTTTTTTGACAATTTTGTAGGCTGGAATTCGATGGCCCCACCATAGCTGCCTCGATATGCACCAATCGTGCACATTTTCTAGCCAGTAAAACCAGGTGTTAACATGCTGCGGGGGAATAATTGTGAGTTGCTTCTCCTTCACGCAGTTAATGGCTTGTCTGCCGAGCTCACTACAGTTTACGTACCACTGTGGTATGAGCATATACTCGATGATGTCATTTGTTCTGGAACACAAAGGAAGAGACATCGAGTTAGGAATTTTATCCGAGAGCAGATTTAACTTCTTTAATTCTTCCTGGATTTTAAATCTACATTCAAATCGGTGCATCCCTTCAAATAATTTGCCTCCATTTCTGTTAATATGTCCATCCCGGGTAAAAATATTTATGGACTTCAAATTATGCCTCTTCATCATTTCGTAGTCATTTTTATCATGAGCTGGCGTTATCTTCACAGCTCCAGTACCGTATTCCATGTCGACATAGGCATCCGCAATGATGGTTATTTTACGGTCCGGAATGAAGGGGTGTACAATTTCTTTTCCCACTAAGTGAGCATACCTCTTATCATTTGGATGCACCGCCACAGCAACATCTCCCAACATGGTTTCAATTCGCGTTGTTGCCACTTCGATTTTTTCTTCACTGTCCTTAATTTGGTAAAAGAACTTATATAATACGCCAACTTCGACCAGGTGATCAAATGAGGGGATCTTAATTTTTGTTGGCTTCTTTATTTCTTCAAGGTTCACCTCAATATCGGAGAGAGCCGTCTTTAAATGGGGGCACCAGGCAACCAATCGGTTGTCTCTATAAATCAATCCGCTATCATAAAATCTTATAAATGCTTCCTTCACAGCTGCGGACAATTTCTCGTTCATAGTGAAATACTCCCTTGACCAATCAACGGACGCACCGATTCGCCTAATTTGATTATTAATTTTATTTCCATGGAGATCCTTCCATTCGTAAATCTTTTTCACAAACTCTTCTCTTCCATAATCTTGTCGTATTTTTTGCTCCTTCTTAAATAGTATTTTTTCCACAACGGTCTGTGTTGCTATCCCTGCGTGGTCTGTCCCTGGCACGTAGAGGGTTAAAAAATTTTTCATTCTCTTGTATCGAACTAAGGAATCCTGAATGGCTATGGTTAACGTGTGGCCAATGTGTAACGTTCCTGTCACATTTGGTGGGGGCAACACAATGACGAACTTGTCACTCGGACGCTTATCTCCTAGCAACTCCTTTTTCGGTTTGAAATAATCATTCTGCTCCCAGAAGGAGTACCACTTGGCCTCGACCTCCTTGGGGTCATACGCATCTTTCATGCTTTTCAAATTTTCTTTTATGTTTTTTCCTTCCATTTTGTTGAACCTGCAGTGTAAGTATCTTCTTGGTTGGTGGTAAGCAGCTATCCGTATGTGGAATCGTACGTTCATGCGAAGGGGGGGTGCAGAGGAGTCCCAAGCCAAGTTTTAAAAATGGGCCACGAAAAAGAAGAAGAAAAATGACACGCGAATTTGGCAAAACGGTTGTGCTGTTGATGGTGATGATGCCAATAGCAGCGACCTCATTTATGTTCACTGCCACTTCGCACAAACGGGTTACGCCTCTTTCCCTTTCGAGGCCGAATACCACCTACGTGCAGCAGCCAGGGAGAAGATCAATTTTCAGATCTCCTCCTACAATATACCGCACATAGGTAGGGTTATACTCTTCCCTTCATGGATGTAGAATTTTTGTCCACTCCAGCGCTACATGGGCAAGAGCATATGTTGCGAGTAACTTTTTGCAGCGGTTCCTTCCGAAGGGTCATCCACTGGGGAATATTTTTCTGGGGCCTCGAAACATGCAAAACTGCTGAGCAGAAGTGCTGCTTTTATCGTTTTAAAAAATGTGGGACAGAGCCTTGTTGCGAGGCGCAGAGGGAATACTAAAATGAGGGGGAAGAATGGCCAAGCAAAATCGCCATGTTGCCACGGCGAAGAGGAAACCATAACGCCATCCAATTAATGGCGGCACTTTATGCAGCGCCCACGACCTTCGTCGAGTTTAACATGGCGAATTTTTTTTACCGCTTCGCTCCTATTGCGCGAAGAACCGCACAACTATCGCTGATCTCTTCGGTAGAAAAATTGAAGAAAGCCTTTCCACCATTTTTCTCTTTCGCCGCAAAGCGTCATTTTTGCCGTGGGTTATTTTATTACATATAAAAGGGTGACAAACAAGAAAGCAACCTTTTCGCTCGTCATGGTGCAATTATGAACAGTGCCTTGTCGAATCGGGCGATGTTGGGGGACAGTGATAGATCGGACAAGGGATCAGAAATAATGCCCCCCGGGGAATTTAAAAAGAAGGAAAAATACACCATGTATCCGTCTTTAGGTTCGGGGATGTGCTGCCTCCGTGTGCAAGCGCCGAAGTTACACTCATATGGTTTTTCTTATGTGTACAATGGACGAAAAAAAAAAAAAAAAAAAAAAATAAATGATCATGGATTTCTGCCACACCGGTAAAGTCTTCCCGTAGCTCTTTATTCCTAAGGAGAGCTCCTATATAGCGCCGCGGACAGCGGTAGCCTCTCTCATGGTGGGCGCTTCTTCCAATTTTGGTGACTTCCACATGGGGCCGCAGCACAATTTGTGCTTGTACAGTCAGCATTAGGATTTTCCACACAGAGATCCCCAGAAGGGGATCTTTTACATAAATTTTTTTCTTTTCTTCTTTTTCGTCTTCTTCTTCTTTTTCTTTTTCTTTCATAATTGATATACCCGTCTGTACAGTGTTGTTCCTATTTCGGGTCTAACCACACTTGCCGCTACGCTAGAAAGTGTCCCCAAGGGATAGGTGGACCCGGTCAACACATGGAAACGTCCATCAGCACTTCCCATCAGCACTCTCTACACCCCCGGAAGCAGTAATTAAACACCTTAACAGAACTGCGTACCCTCCCCCCGGCAACACTTCCTACACCCCTTCCTCTACATATACTCGTCAACGAAGCGACTGCCATTTTGTGAGTTGCTCCAAAACTGAAACGAATCGGTGGTGACCCCCGTGTGGAAGAGATCACTGACCATTCCCATTTCTAAAGCATGCTCATTCCGCATACCTTCGTACGTAGAGGGGTGTGCCATTACCGGAATGTTGCCCACGTGAAGTGTATTGTCCCCCCTAATTGTTATTGCTGCACTGTGGTCAGTATCTCCCATTGATGCCCTTCCACTAGAGTTCCACTTTTGATGAATAAGTTCTCTCCTTGCATGCACAAAATTTGTATCAAAAGAATGACAGGTGTTCTGGAGCCGGTTGCAATTCTCCACGCTTATCTCATTTGACATTTCAGACTCCTCCGCCAGGCTTCCACCTACAGGTCCTACTACCATGTTGGAAAATCTATCTTGTGTTGAGTACCCAAACTGAATTTTACTTAGCGAGGTACTCGTACTAGCCATGCTCATGTGATTGGAAGCAGCTGTATAGACTACACCATCGGTGTTACTCATCTGGGGGGGTGAATAGAACTTCTCCTTATGCGTATTTGCGAAGTCTGTGTTTCCGATCCTACCGCTACCACTTTGGAAACTCCTATCATTAGTTATTCCAATCTGATTTTTTTTCAATCTTCGCAGGAGTGCTTCATTGGATCCGTTCATGTGTTCACTAGGAAGAGTGTTCCTTGGAACGGTGCAATTTAGCTGGCTGGGGGTTCTACTGTGTAGCTGGTTTGGGGTTCCTCTACTGTCTGCTTTTTTTGATTCTACTGTGGAGAGGTAGCTCTGCTGTTGATCTATTTCGTAGCATGTTTGATTTTCCGTCTTACATTTCGAATTGTAGAGACCGTCCCTTGGTGTAGTACCCGATTTACCATCATGTGAGCAATTGGACCTATGAGAACCTTTTTTGGGTATGGCGGAAGGTGCCTCTAACATGGTACCCCCGGGTTGCACACCTCCTTCCAATTTTGTCCTAACTGCCCTATCTGTGTCGGTCCCCCCGACGTCCCGTTTCTTTGTATTCATATTATTCTTCGTATTCATATTATTCTTCTTATTTTTATCCTTCTTCCCGGAAATTGAAAGATTCTTACTAGTCAGTAGGTACCTGCTCCTCAATTCTTTGAGTGCCTTGATGGTAATCTTAACGCCACTCCCTTTCAGCATAGCGATCCATTCCCTTTTATACCCATTCCGTTCGCATGCGAGGAGGCAATATTTTTCCGCCACATTCCATACTCCTAAAATATGAGCAGCTCTGTACAGGTCCCTTATTTTCATGTCTCCGAAGGTCGATCTAGAAGTAGGGAATAACCCATTTGATGATAGAAGCTCGTCACACATCTTCACATCTGTCATTCTTTTTTGGTGTAGCGCTTTTCGCAATATGGCTCTCCCATAGGTTCCTATCGGGATGTCAAACCCTGGGTACCACTCGATGAGATAGCTGTTTTGGGATTTCTTCGTGAAGGCTTCGCTGGTACTCTTCTTCACATCTTCAGGAGAGGGATTGCTCAAGCTGTTGGGCAGTTCTCCATCACAGTGGCTACCATCCAGCGGCAGGAATTCTTCACAGTTGCTCCCATTTGGGAAAGAATATTCAAAATGTTGCACTTTCAGGGGGGTAGCTAAATTCTTCCTTCCAGTTGTAGCAATCTCATCCTTGGTGTCTCTTTTCTCATTCATCGTGAAGAAGTCGATGGGAAGATTTGTCCTACTAGTGAAATTGTCCTTGTGAAGGTCTCTCCCTAAATGGTAATCACTTCTGTTCATCGCTTCGATTTCTTTAGGACAAGTACCACTGTGGCTATTTTTTCCCAATTTTACTTCCCCCACTTGGGCAGCGAAATGGGGAAAGTTACGACCGACACCTTTGAGACCCCCCCCTTTTTTGTCGACTCCAGTTCCTCGTTCCAGAAACTGCGTCTTCTTATTTACTTGCTCCAAATCGGCGAGACGGATACAGCGCTCTCTCGAGTTGGAGTGGTTGTCCTTCTCCCCGCTTAAGTGGTCCAATCTAGCATCAGCATAGGATCGACGTTTCTTGGGGTCACTCGGAGGGGAGTCCTCCTCGGGGGTCTTTCCGAATTGAGATTTCCCATTTAAGGCTGCAATCGAGATGGCAATTCGGTTTAGGCTTCCCTCCATTTCGCCGTTTGATAATCGTCTTATTTTGTAATTCCCCCCCAGCTCAAGCTTCTCATTTCGAGGTGGATTCCCAACATGTGTGCGCTCAGACGGGGTGACCTCTTGTTCAGTCGCTTTCGACGTTTCGTCATTGGGACATACACTATGGGTGAAAGAATCCCATTTGAGATGGTTACTCCAAACGGGTTCACATTTCATGTTCCTTTTATCTGCACTATTGAAATGGTTAACCGGTTGGTTAATCTTTCTAGCGGTGGTGCTGGTCATTTCTGATCTGTTTCGTCCCTTTTTGGGTCTCTTGTTCTGAGTCGAATTGTTTGGAGTGGCAGGGTTGGGGGTGACCACCTTTTCATCACTGGGAAAGCTTAGAATTTTAAATTGTCTTTCCCTACGGAGTGAGTCGTTCGTGTGGAGGTTGTCCACTTCCGGATCATGCTCTTTGTTGTGCGCGTCTCTTTGTTTATATGTACAGGTGAACGGTGTGTTCATTTGGTTGCTTTGGTTGGTTTGGTTTATTTGGCTGATTTGATTTATTTGGTTGATTTGGTTTATTTGGCTGATTTGGTTTATTTGGCTGATTTGGTTTATTTGGCTGATTTGGTGTATTTGGCTGATTTGGTTTATTTGGCTGATTTTGTTGCTTTCTTTGCTTTCGCTGATTTTCTCCATTTTGTTGCCTCCATCTTTGGCCCAGTTGTGCCCGTCTTGCGTTATGGCCTTTTTGTGAGACAGAGGAAATTTCTCCCCTTTGGAGTCCTTACGAGCCGGAAAGAACCCACTGGGGGATGCACACCTGATTAGTAGATTCTCATATAAAGAGTGATCTTTCCCTGGTGGTACCATTCCATCCTGCATTCCCGAAGTCGCTGTTTCTTTCGTGTGTGTAAATGTCTCCTCCTTTTTGTCCACATCTCTTTTTGTGTAAATACTCTTGAGCCTTGTCTTGTTCTCACTTCTGTTACTGCAGATTTGGTCTGATCCATCTGCCATTTGGTAATCTTTTTCCACAATGATGGGGGGTAGAAGATCGCCCTTAGGAGGACTCTCATCATATGAGTGACCCGTTCGCAGTCCCCTCCTGCCTCGTTCCCCTCGTCTTGGCCTCCCAACACGCGCGGGATTAGAAGACAGCGTGGTGGAGGACTCCCTACTGGAATCCGCACAGGATTGTCCACTTCTGCTCCTCATTCTTTCATATTTGTTTGCAACCGCTAAGGACACAATGTCCGCGGGTAAATTTTTTCTATTTCTTAATATGGAGCTCTCCTTTATGCAGGAAGTTGTGTAACTTCTCTTCTGAATATTTCCACTGCTGCCTATTATGTATCTTTCCCGAGGAGACGACAGTTCATTTGTGAGCGTCCTTTTGTGAAGAAGAGGGATACTCCTCAATGTACATGTCGAGTCCCTAGCAAAGGAGAAGTTCCTAAGTGGATGTTTCTCACACTCTTCAGATCCACGACCGATGTGAATCCCCCCCTTCAACGGTAAAACGTCTTTCTCCGAATGGGCATGATCGTCTTCCCCATCTTTTATTGAGCCTTTTCCACATTGGTGATAATTTGTCTTCGTTCCGTTACGCATTAATTTTTGCTTTCTTTTTGTTATTTCTCCCTTGGGATTTCTTTCCTCCCAAAAGAGCCTCCTTTTGCTCCAGTAGACTTTCGGTTTAAGTGGAAATTTTTCTTTTTTCTCCAACTGATGAGTGTCTAAGATGATGGGATTTGTTCCTCCTCCTATTCTCCCATTTTTGCATGAAAGTTTTGCCTGATCGGAGGGGTCAATTGGTATTTTGCCCCCCAGTGTGCCGCTTCCCTCACGGTGGTTATTCTCCATTTCGTTTTCTTCTTCATTTAGTGACTTTCTAAGCATCAATCCAACCGCGTGGCAATTACACTTCGAATGAGTTATAGTTACATAACTTCGTTCCGGGAGGTTGACAGGCGCACCACGGGCTGATAAAACTCTCCCATGGAGGGAATCCACCCTGCTATCACCTAAGTTCTTACTACATCCACGTGGGTAATCCCAGGCTACGCCGCGTAACCGTTCGTTATTGGAAATATTCACTTTGTCTTCCTCTACCTGTGCATGCTTAAAATGCAGCTCTGGAACCTTTTCACTCAACTTGGATTGGCAACATATGCCCCATTGTTCCGAGTGACCCATGGGTAGACGTTGTACCACGTTTCTCGTGAAGAAGTGGGTGCACACATCCTGGATGTCATTCGTGTAGTTATTATTTCCTTTCTTCATATTAGCCTCCTCGTATATTTTTTTGAATTGGTCCGATGAGACGGAACCGTCTTTACGCTCGTCATTACAAATGTCACCAATGGGGTTAGCCTCAGACTTGGATGCGCTCGTGCACGTCGTGCTGCTTGTTAGGTAAAACTTATGCCCATTGTGGTTCTCATTGTCGTTCCCATGGCCGTTCCCATAGCCGTTTCCATGGACGCTGCCATTGTCTTTCCCGTTTGTTACTTTTTCATGAAGGGGATTGTTACCATTAGAATGACCCATTTGGGACGACTTCATGCCATCTGGGTTTCCCTCTTCCGTAAAACACCGTCCACAGCTTTTTTGCGAATTGCTAAAACTCACATCGCTATCGCTGCAGGGATACCATTTCGTAGTCCCCCCTTCTGGGCCAGCACGATGTGGTTTTTTCATCCCTATCTTGTTGTTCTCTCGGCGGCCGTGAGCGAATCCATTTTGGTAATTGAAAAGTGAGTGATATTCTTTGAGGCACCCGTATTTGACCCCACCCAAATTGACAAAGAGTTGGCCGTTACCATTTTGTGGGGCGTTATTTCTTTCGAGGTGTGTCTGTACATGTTTACGGGAAGGAAGTGTGTACACTTTGGATTCATTTCGACCTCCTTCGAGTTTATGATCCGTTTTTCCCCTTGTGCAGCTTCCATTTCGGCAGAGTACATTTATAACTTTCTTTCTTGCGCAGGGGGTACTCCTCCAACGGCTGGTTGTTGAGAAGCCCGCTTCATTTTTGCACTTGTTCCTCAGCCTTTTTCTCATCCGTTTGTAAAACTCCATATCGTCATAGGACACAATTTGAACCCTTTGGTCGTGTGTAACAAAATGTGCATCCCTGTAAACACCTTCCGATTTTGTTGATTTATCATCTCGCTCTTCTTCAAACTGGTCAGTTAGTCCTTTTCGCAAAAGGAAAACTCCGTTAACCCACTTTTCATCATGTGGGGAGAAAAGAATGTCTATGACGCTGTTCTCACAATTGCTGAAATGTAGGTTTATCCTTTTTAAGAATTTCCCCTTTTCGTCACTTGACATTTGGAGATCCCGGTGCAGAATTTTTTTTTCTTTGGGGATCTCTCTAATCGATTGCTTCAGCCCATCATTGTTGTTTTGTTTAACGACATTTCCCCTGGTTTGTGAATTTTTTCCTGTCTTCGTATTCCCCCCCCCTATTTTGAAATATTTGCGGAGGATACTTTTAGACTTAATGGGAAAGCCATTTTCTCCTCTTCTACCTCTTTTCCCAAACTTAGCGAACTCCGCTCTGGGTCGAGTCCCCAGGTTACATGTGTACTTCTCCACTAAGTCTAGATGATTTTTTATAATTTTTTTAAAAAGAGCATTTTTGCCATACCGGTTTTTCTCTCCTTTGGCAAAATATTCCCTCTTAATTTTTTTAAAATTGGATAAGCTGGAAATTGGGGTAGGTACAGGCAGACTTGTAAACTTATCGAATGAGTCAAAGTGGTATTTTGCACCAAAATACATTTGAGCTTCACTCGCGAAGAAGTTGTTCATATATTCACAATAGTCATTACACAAAAAAGAGTTGTTATTATCATACTGAAAAAATTTACAAAATTGTTCCATTTCGTTTTTTATATTTCCATTGTTTATCATGTGTGTATATGTTGCATCAGAAATTTTTTGACGTGTCTTTTCCTGAGGGAATATTTTTCCATTTAATGCATTTTGCGTCTGTACTTTATGGCTATTTTTAAATTGGACGTGGCTTGGTTTTACTGCCTCGACAGAGTTAGAGCGTTTTTTGTCACAATGTTTGGAGAAATATGTATCAGGTGAGAAGGCCTGGCTTGGGAAGGCGGACATTATTTGAGTAGAACGATGTCTACCTGTGTTTAATCTTTTTAGTTTTGCTTTAAGGCCATAACAATGGCTATAGAATCCGGCATGAACGTTCATGCGGCCAACTAGCAAGTATATTTCTTCTTGCACCTTTTACTTATCTTTCTCATGAAAGTTAAAAAAAAGTAAAGCAGTTATCAAATAAGGTGTACATGTTATAATTCCACCATGTTGAGGGGAATTATAAACATTTAAAAAGTAAAATGGTATTATTTAAATATATCTATATGTTTTTTTTCCTTTTTCTAAAAAATG